TACATGGTTCTATTATATTAGTCCTGAATAATTCAGGTAGGTTATGGGGAATTACTATCCACAGCCTTAATGTTAGATCTGGCATACCAGAGATTTAGTTTCCCTACTTTGTCCCTTCCATTTTGCCTTCACTGCCTCTGGGTTGACATTACTATGAGTCCTGTGCTGCTTTGTAAAAACTGCTTTACTGGTGATAAAAGTGGGCTATAATGAGCGGTCCTGGAAGTTAAATCTTTTCCCACTCTTAGAATTTTAGGAAAATTCTCTTGCCTTCAACTATTTTCCAAATGATGGGAATACCTATGGAAGCATTAAAAAAAAAAAGCCTAGTTACACAAATCAGTATCCCAGAACACCCAAACCATTCAAGAAATGATTGAAAACTTGTGTGAAAACAGGTGGAATACTCATATATTCTAATTCCAAAGCCTGATTATAAGGTTTTCTCTGCTAACCTTAGTTTATAACAAAAACAAAAAGGGTAAAAAGCAGCCAGAAAACCACTAATTGGAAAATACCAGGTTAACATCTTAACGTAAGAGTAAAACCTTAAGCATTTTGAACTGTGCCACACTAAAAAGCTATATTCAGCATATTGAAAATGTATGCCCTACCTCAAAACCTTGCATCAGAATTCTTTAAAAAATTCACTCAGGCAGAATGCTTCATTTAGAGTTGACAAGTCAGGTTTTAAGTTTCCACACTTCTGGCTAGAATACAGAATTGTTTCAATGGGAGAAAAGTAGGATAGAAAAAAATTTAAATTTGAGGTAAAGTACAAAAACACTATTTAATGCTAGAGTGGGTTTGGGTTCTAAAAAGAATCCTGAACTGAGAGTAACCTTGAGTACCAGGAAACTTAAATGACCTAAGCTCTTTTTGATTTTGGCACTATTGTTCAGGGTACAATGTGTCTGCTTATAGCTAACTGTTGCCTTAGCAACAGGCTATAGGAAGAGCTTCTATCCAGGGGCGTCTGGGTGGCTCAGTCAGTTAGGCATCCGACTCTTGGTTTCAGCTCAGGTCATGATCTCACGGGTTTGTGGGATCAAGCCCCATGCTCAGCAGGGAGTCTGCTTGAAGATTCTCTCCCACTCTTTCTCTCTGATAGATAAATCTTTAAAAAAAGAGCTTCTACCCAGTGTTACAATTATTCCTGACCCAATGACAAGGTCCATAGTCCAGTGTTAAAGTATAATCTGGAATATGTTAGTGCTTGCTGTTACTTTAGTACAGTTACAATTAATGTAATTTCAAACATAGTGTTTACATTCTTTACAACCAAGTAAACGGCAGGTTGAAAAATGAAACTCAATCAGGTTGAGGCATAAGCTCCAGGCAACAAGACAAATTAAATTGGTCTATCTACAAAACTATGGGAAATTCTTTGTAATACTCTTTAAAAAAAAAAAAAGAGTAGCTTTTGACAGTCCAAGAGGTACAAAGTATTTGGAAAATACTCCTGTAATTTCACCCCCAAGAAAAACATACCAATCACTGAAACACAAATTTAAGAAGCTATTCACTAGTTAGTATACTTAATAGTGGGGCTTTAAGACTGAGAATGTCAGTGAAAAATAATCTTGCCCTTGCTTTTTTATGTCTTTAGATTGCATACAGCATAGCTGGAAAACATCTGCATTAGGTATATACAAACTCCAATTCTGTACACCTATACCTACAATTTTCAAATTATCAAAGGAAGAAAGAGGCAAGCCAAATGGACTGGTAGAAATCCTCTTACAAAGATTATAGCCTGCATTACAGCCTATACCTTATTTGAGTACTTGAAGTAGTAATACAGAAGGTACAGAGGATTCTGAATCTAAAGCAATCCACCAATAAATAATAAACCCTTCTTACAAAATTAATATATTTCCTTATAGAATGTACATCCATCGAGAAATAAGGGATTTTCTGAATGATTAGGCTCTTGCTTGGATTTCTAAAGTAAGTGATCATACTTAAAAATGTATTTAGGTTGAGCCACAGGAAACTAACTGCCACTTTCCTGGGTCAAAATGGTGAACTAGTGGCAATTTCGTATGGCTCAACATAACTGACCTATTTTCAACGAAGAGTTGAGTGCAACTTCAAATTACTACCACTTGCCAAAGTTTAACTATTACAGACTGACTGTTGCTTTACTGCAGATCCTGAAATAAAACCCAAATGTCATCAAAGGTTTTAACTACTATCCATTCAAGAACACTTACTAATAACTAAAAATTTTAAGGAGTCACCAAATTCACTATACCAGATATCCTTCTAAGAGGTATCAGGGATCCAAACCATAACAGCAAAGATAGGAAACAGTGAGGCTTCTCATCAAACATCCTCTTGCCTTTTGGAATTTTGTCAAACACACAGATCCAATTCAAATTCAAGTTCCTTAAGGCCTTCTAGAAAAATCCAAGTGTGAAGTTTCCTTTACCTTCATTCCAATAACCACCATCCGATGTAGGACTTACATTATAGCTAGTTTTCCATTCATCTGTTCTTATATTGTAGACATTGCCTATGAGAAAACTAGGTTGGTTTTAACCTCAAAAAAGTGCAAATCTGTGTGAAGACAAAAGGTACAATTTCCCAAGCTAACTGCAACATTCAGTTTATATGCCAACTCTGCAGAGACCTTTCTCAAGTTACATGCTCGACTCAGAAAACAGCTACAAAAACACCTGTGACTCAGCATAAGATGATGGATCCCAGATACAAAAGAATGGCTGACATAGAGACCTGGAATACAATAAAATACTAGCTATTTTGCCTCTTCCTCACTAGCTTAGTGTTATCTATTCTTAGGTTACTTTACTTGCCTACATACATCTGTACTTTTGCAAAATCATTTAAGTGATCTCCCTCAGCCTGGTTCTAAGGAATGCCTGTTAGGTTTTTCATGAACTCACCACCAGTTTGATGTGCTGCTTCTCAACTCCCCATTAAAATACACAATTTGTAATTTTACCAACAGTGACTGAGCTATCAACAAAGACTCATTTACACCATTTTGCAAAAGTTTTAGACCCACTGAAGGCTTTAAAAAGGTGATGCCAGGGGTACCTGGCTGGGCTCAGTCGGTAGAGCATGTGACTCACTCTCAGGACTGAGAGTCACACACTGGGTATAGACATTACTTAAAAACAAAATCTATGAAAAATAAGTTGATGCCAAACAAGAATACTAGGCTTCCCAAAGTTTCAGGAAAAGGTGTTTGGCCCCATGTAATCTTAATAAGCTTCCGTGATTTCACCTAAGTATACTGAAACAATGTGAGGGCTGCACAAGACCTTTATTTAATAATTTTTGCTTAAGTGTCTTTTAGCATGTCCTAACTTACCAGTAAGTTTTCCCATAGCAACACCTTATCTAACTGGTGTAGAAGTAGCCAAAAAAGATGCACCCCTCTCAAAATAATTTGGAAGGCTACCTGAATCAAATGGTTACTACCTTCGGGAGTAGGCCTTTCCACTTCTAAATCAGTATTTACCCCAAGAAAAGCCTATTATGGGGGAATCTGGGTGCTGTCAGTCAACCATCTGACTCAATTTCTGGTCAAGGCATGACCTCAAGGTTATGAGATCAAACCATCAGGCTCTATACTGGCCCTATGAAGCCTGCTTAAAGATTCTCTCTTCCATTCTCTCTGCTCCTCCCTCCCCCCTCTCTCGCTCTCTCTTCTTAAGAAGGAAAAAAAAAAAAAAGCAAGATTATGGTTCTACAGTACACAAGGCATTAGGTTTAGTCGTTTGTAAATAATGAAATCTTGATACTTATTTCGTAGAATATGGTTTTTCTACTAAAGAACTGCTTGTACTATGCCCTTTTTCTAAGATGGTTTTGTTACTTTCTCAATGAAACAATCTTAATGGAAGGATCTTAATGAATCTATTCTATATGAAAGAAAATGAAAAATCACTTTATTTATACCATATTTACCAATTTGGGAATTAATGAAAATTCTCATACCTTGTAATTAATCTGTAACCCTGATACTGAAGAGAACAAAGAAAAAAAAGCCAACAGTTTTACTTCTAACCTTTCATGGTTAAAAAAGATGTTTGTGGGTTAAGTTTTTAAAAATCAGGATATGAAATTGATACTGTTACTCAAAATGCAAGGATTGCCCTATTCGTACCACATCTTATAAATTCTGTTACTAGGGTTTTAGGAAAAAGCATTTAATACCATCACATCTTAACTGTAGTGATAATAAATTTGAGGTCTGTGGTTGTATGGACACTGACCTGGCAAATATTACATTTTAGCAGTACCTTCAGTTGTCTTTCAGTCATTATAAATTAACTAAAATCACTTAACAGTTTTATGCACATAACAAATTAAGACAGTTTATGCACATAAAAAAACACTTCAAACACCAAATGACAGAAATGGCTCTTTCTTGCTCAGTGGTCTATGTGTTTCTATGGAGGGAGGACCCTCCAGTAAATCCACATTTGATATGACCTCACATATATCTGCATAATTACTTCATCGCTGTTACTCTGAACACACTTTATGCAGTCTTTATCTTCCTGAAGTTAAGCCACGTGGCTAAAATACATACAAAAAATACAATCATTAATGACAACCTTCAAAATTATTTCCTTGAGAATCAAAAACTAATGGTCTATTTCTTATTTAAAAATTGCTCACCATGCTTCTTTATAAAAATAATTTTTAATAAATTATCAAAGGCCAAAGCAAAATTCTGGATTTTACCCCACTGCCTTCCAAAAGTTGCCTTTGATAAGATAATAAAGATTTTACTAGTATCAAAGGTATGATCAATTCCCTAAGCCAATCTATTCTAATAGACTAAATTTTAAGTGCTAAGATTTCAGAGGATATATTACAAAATTATCAACCTATTAATATTTTAATACTATTTTAAGTATAAATGCTTTTTAAAAAGCAATCAGGTTAACTATTCTAGGCCTATTACTAGCTCCAACTACTTTGCTACAATTGGTATAAAAAGTAGAAAGTTAATCAGCAAATGGAAGATCAAAGTTTATTTACTACCTGCATACAAAAACATATTGCACATCAAACAACCAAAATCAAAAAAAAAAAAAAAAAAAAAAAAAAAAAAAAAAGGAAAGATACTCTACTGAAGACTAACATGTACTTTTATACAGAATAAACCTCCTGGAAATTGATCTTTTCAGTAGTTCAGGTTATGTCTGAAATGGACATGACTAATTCAGCTTAGTGTTTTAACTAAAGCTATGTTTGATTTTTAAATACTGTACACTTTAATAAATAAACCAAACAAAGCCTCAATGTAGAACAGTCACTGCCAATATCACCCAGTGTCCCTGCAGATGAGAGTTTAACAAATGTATTCCAGTGGTCTGCAGATTTTCCTCTACATACAGCATTTAAAAAACACATTAAAACAGACCAGTTTCCAGACTAAACTAATGGAGAAATTACAATTCAGTGCAAAATATTTTAGACTGCATTTCATTCTAGTTTTCCTCAGGTGAAGAAGTGGTTGCATATTATTAAAAATGTAACAAAAGCAGCTAATGCTTTCATAAAGAATATTACGTTAGGGATCCCACCCCACCCACTTCCCCCCATCTCTGCCATATTTTGAAAACAAAATAACATTTCCTATAGCCAGCAACTTTTTTAATGTTACATATACTATTCTCAAGGCACATCTGATGATATATTTTATAACACAGTAGGTGTCAAAGTATGTTTAACATATGATTTCTTCAGGATCCCTCCCCTTTCTGAATTCCAAATGGAGGAACTGAAAGTGCGATGTAAAGACTGGCGATCCATATTCTATCTTTGGCAAGCTTGTACAAGCACTATTGTAAAATGTAATGTAAAAGAACTGTAAACTAGGAACTTCTTCAGTTTATGAAACACCATTCAGGACTGCTGCTTCTTGAGTGTTTTCTTCTTTTAAGGTATTAATCTTTTCTTCTCCTGGAGTACGCTGTAGCTTAGAAATTTCATCGCCAGAAGCACTAGTTGGGCCATTTATTGCCTTTTCTGAAGGACCATGCTCTTCAATCACATCTTTTGCCTGCCAAAGGGAGACAACTTTTTCAACTTCTTTATAAATGAAATCTACAGCTGAGGAGGAAAACAGCTATATAAACATTAGCTAATAAATCATTTTAGTTTCATAACCACATTGGATCAAAGGATTAAAATGTTCTTAAGTTTTCAAAGCATATACCAATGTACTCCACCTCTACTGTCTTTCAACTCTATCTCTAGTACCTAGCAGTGCTAAATCACAGAAGAATCTGTTCTTGTTTACTGGAAACTTGAACCTAATTTTAACCACTGGAAAGCTCACCATGTAAAGATATAAAGTTACCCTAAGCAAATAAACACCTATTTTACTCACCTTTTTTTTTTTTTGAAACTCATTTACATTAAAGCATTTAAAGAATTGAAACTTAAAAAAGGTCTACATCCATCACTGAGAAGAGGTATATAGCCTATTGCTCCCCAAATTAAGCCAACAGACTTTATGCCCAACATCTCTGGGTAGACTGAATTTTACAAATGCTATTTGGAATTCTAAATGAAAAGTATTCCAGGCTCAAGCATGCATATCTTCAGTTACCTGGGACCAAGAACAAAATCAAGAGTAATCTTTAAAATATTATTTGTCTAGTTGGGGAAACAAGTGATCGATCATACAGTAAGTCAAGAAGTAAAAATAAAGCTGAACCATACCAAAACAAAAAAACCAAAACAGAACCAAAAAAAAAAAAAACCCAAAAAAACAAAAACAACAAAACCTACAGGTTAAATTCTCCTTACCATTTCTTTCTTGTTTTTAGCCAAAGTTTCCCTTGGGAGGTTTCTTTGTCTGCTCTGAGACTCAGCTCTAGAAATATAATCTGCAACTGTGACTGTTGAAGATGAGAAAAAAATTACAGGTGTTGAAAAAATATTTCTAAAGTTTATTTATGGATAAAGAGTAATTTTACTTTTAAAATAAACTGACGGTGGGTAACCCAATTCCAAAATTTTAAGCTGGGTACCACCTCCAACCAAAAACAAAAGTCGAAAAATGTGCCTGTGATTTAGTGCTGACAATAGAAAATTCCAAGCTGGAGATCCAAGGAAGCCTAGATTTAAGTCTGCTTTCACAGGAATCCAGCCATTGCTTCTGACTCTACAGTTGTGGGATAAAGCTTGATATAGAAATCCACAACCAAGAATAAGAAATACAGCATTCTAAGCCCAGTGTTTGCAATTCTCAGTGGGGAAAAAAAAGGAGGGAATATTTGGTGCAAATCATGGTGTACTACATATACTTCAATTTGAAAATTTCATCAGATATCAAAGATTTACCAAATTGTTAGGGTTTTTTTTCTTTTTTTTTTTAAAGCGCAACTAAGATACCCAACTGTGGTATTTTATGGTTCCTTTTTCATGTTTCACACTAGAAACCATTCTGAGTGATTTAAAATAAAAAACTACAAGCCAACTAAAGATGGCAGAACAGCACCCTAAAAATGTGGACAATGATCCTGGTGGGAAAAGGGCCACCATTAATTCAGTAACCTCCTCTTCCCCGCTTTGACAATCTTTCAAGGGACTGATTGAAGTGTATGTGTGTTTGCAAGAAAGTGGATGGCAATAGTGACCTAAGAATAAGACTAAAGCAAGCTAACACCCTTCTGCCAACCCAAGTGCAACATCTCTGTTCTACTCTGGCCTCACTTTACACCTCAATCCTTTCTCTTTAGAACTTACAGCTTAGAATTTTCTGATTTGGAGAAATATCAAAATAACTGCTCTCTTTCAAAGAATTATTTTCTATCAGAAACTGGGCAGGAAAATCTCTGACTATATGAAATATAGTGTATTTTAACTTACGGGATGAAAGCAAGTTAATGTAAAGAATGAAAACTCAAGTAAATTTTAAATTATTTATTTAAAAGTCACTAGGGGAGAAATGGTCCATCAGGTTCAAATTATACGAAAATAAATCATTTTGATAAAGAAGCTGGATAGTATTTACAATTCATTTTTTGTGACCATGAATTAACATAATACTTTTTTAAGATCCAAGAATTTTCTGAAACTACTAAATGAATCTTAAATCTCAAAGAAACCACTTAATTCAGAATACAAATCATTTATAAGAAACAGCACTAAATAAAGATGTTTCCTGTCTAAAACTGCCTCTTTTCTTCCAAACTGTAAGAAACTCGGTGTGCTCATTTCAGAGCTTTCAAAAAATCATTTAAATCCACTGTTAACAAAACTGAGAAGAGGAATACTGTCAAATCCATTTCATTATTATGTCTACATATATGGTGGCAAAACATTCTAGAAATGATTCCAGTTTGGGGAGCACCTAAATGAATTCATTCTGTTTCCATAGTTCAGCCCTCAGTGACACATGGAAGAACTCAGCAACTTGGAAACCATGCTGCTGCACAAACATACTGCTAAATTTGAGTATGTGACAATTCTTAGAACCCTTCATCCACTATGTACACTCATAGAATAATACTTTGATACGGGTATCAACTAAATTAAGAGGCACTTAGCTGGAAAGGTAAAAACTTATCAGTGCCCCTCCCCCACAAAGGGAGGTACAACCAAAAACAAACTTAGGTGACTCAAAGCCTATTTACAGCCAGTCCTTATAATACTAGCCATTTAAAAGGACATTAAAGATTAATAAACATGATATCTAGAAGAAAAATAAGCGATTTGTGCAGCATAATTTGGAATATAGAACTTCCTCCTAAGGGGCCCGAGTAAATCAACTGGACACAAGTGTACAAGCACTTTCTAAGCAGAATAAGGAATATTCACTGCTTAATTTACACTAAAATCAAAAAATTTTGAGCAAATGAGAATGAAATGATTGTGTATGTAAGGGAATATTGATATTTTTAGATGAAGCCACTTTTCTAGAAGTACTGACAGGGGCAAGGAGAAAATGATGTGCCTGTTCCGTCGATGCTATCTTAGGGGGCTTTTAAACGTTTTTAGGGGAAGGCAGAATAGGGAAGACAAGGATTTCTAAACAGAAAAAGCAGCAATTCCAAAGAACTGAGTATAACTGGAATAAATGCAAGTATGGAACAATCATCAAATTATTGGACACCCCAACTCACTCAAGTTTCACTTCTCTGCCTCTTCTTTAACACCACTGTGTTTTTTATGTCCACTGACTTGGTAATAAACCACCATCTATCTAGTTAACAAATTGTGTTGTTATTTACCCTATGTTAAGCACACAAGGATAGTCTGAATTTTCTTATTTACGAAGTATGGCAGAAATTGTATTCACTGCCATGCCAACTTTAAACATGATCTCTTGATCTAAAGAATATTTCTGACACTACAGTGAGAGAGGGAAGAGAAGGGAAAACAGTAAGAAACACTTTCTGGAAACTTTCTATTTTTGACAGTATTTAATTCCTTTTAAACTTAACAACTATCTTTAAAACATGAACTTTTCTTCAAGAATGGGAACTAACACCTTTAACCAGTTTTCCCAAATGTCTCTACACAACCACTAAACTTAAAGATACTTGAATTTACATTCTTTATTTGGGGAAAACACATCCAAGAATTTGCTTTGGAAAGAATGCAGAAATTGATTAGTTTAAAAGGGGTTTATTTTTGGTGCACACAATTTCTTCACTGTGAATATACACGTGATTTTCTGTATACAGGAAATGGAATTATGTTCAAAATAATATAGACACAGCAAACAAGTTTGAAGTCACTAAAAATTATGACTACTTAAATTAACATTCTAAAACTAATAAATAAGTACTATTAATTTGAATAGTTAGTAGGTGTAAGGGAAAAGGCAACACACCACAATAAACAAACAAAACATAACATGCATTCCTCTTATTAGAAAAAAGACACCTTCAAGTATTTTTCTCAATTATACTTCTTTTTTAACTGTGGGTATTAAAATTCCCACAAAAATGAGGTGCTGAATTCAGATACAATAAGCAGCACCATGCAAAAGTTGCCCAGTTTTGCCAATCAACCTCATTCACAATCTACAACGTAGTCCCTGGGATGGCAGGCCTAAACTCAAGTATGAAGAATCTGCCAAGTGGACAAAATAATGGTCTTCTCAACAGTATTTCCATGTAAAAAAAAAAATTAAGACACAACATTAGTTCAATTAGACAGGTTACTGAACATTTACGGAGTGAAGAAAGAATGCATTTTCTTAAGAGTAGTAGTCTTATTAGTTGAGTAAACAATTTATGCAATGCACATCTTGAATGTATATGCACACATGTGTACATGTAGTTAAGTATAATATATTTAGAAAGCAGACACATGACATTTTTTTCATGCTTGTGACCTGGTGGTGTCAACAGGTCCACTCAAGTTACCTGGCTGTCTATCTTCTGCCTGACCCCTGAAACGACGCCTGCGGCTACGATTGCGTCGCTGGGGTTTTTTTTCACTATCATCTGTAATTGCAAAGTTTACCATGAACTATTCTGACAAACAAAAGTAAAACAAAAAAAAACTTCTTTCCTTCAAAGATTTAAGAATGGGGAAAGACTTTTTAATTAAACAGGGAGGATAAAACAATACACATTACTGACAGGAAAATAATTTTGTAGTTTTAAACATTTCAAATAGATTAAAAATGGAATTATCACCTGGAAATTAAGAGGGTTTTAAACTCTTAACTGAACAAACTCAACAATTACCATCATTCAGGAATAAAGTCTTCCTTTCCAATACAATTTATTTTTTGGGTTTTTTGTTTTTAAGCAAAGTTAACATTTTAGCCCTTTGGAAGTTAATACCTACTCAATATACATACCTTCACTACTGTCATTTATAATAAATTTTAAAGAGGCAAGCTGAAAGCCCAATTTTAGTTTAGGAACAAAAAGAGTATTAAGTGGCTTGCAGTTTGAATATCTGTATTGATTTAACGGCATCAAAGGGCACTTTAATAAACCCTTCTGATTTCAAATAATTTAGCTGTACAAATCTGAGAACTAGACACTTCAGACACAAAGCTATCTTGTTTGAAGTAAACACTAAGGAAAATTCAATATGGGAATTGCATTACGTTTGGGGTTGGTTTTTTTTTTTTTTTTTTTGAAAAAAGCGTCATACAATATTATACAATAATGTATCTTTTCCCTAAGTGCTTACATACCTAGCCCATTTTCATTAACTGAAGCTGTATCAGATTCAGTCATCCCATCCATCAGAACAGCATCTTCATCAGTCCTTCGTCTACGAGACCGCCTACGACGGTTAGTACTGTGATGAGATTCGCTGGCATCAGTGTCTGCAGTCTGATCAGATTCTGTATTATCAAGTAAGCTGTATGGATTGCTGTCTGGATCTTTGAGCACTATATGCATGTCAGAGGCAAGAAATATTCGTTTAAGAGAGCTGCAGTCATTAGTAATGTTTTGATCTATAGAACTTTATCTATTAATGATAAAGAAACTTCAATTCTCCCCCTATATTCTGTATTCAAATAAATGTTTTCTGTATCACTATTTTCCCTGGAAAATAACAAATATGAAGAACTTCAAATGGCAATGAAAAATTAAAGAAGATGAGCAAATACCCTCACAGCTTCCTACCACTTCTTGGACTTGTTTTGAAAATGTATTAGAAAATAGTATATTATGACATGCTATTTTTGACATTCACATTCTCAGCTAATCCTGCCCAGAGGCTAGAGAAATGAAAATGAAGAGAAATATTCAATTCTGCCACCTTTATGGAGTTCAAGGAGTCAGCTGCTGCTATGGGCTAATGTTAATGGACTATTCCCAAATAATTCTCAACACCTGCACTCCATGGCATAATAGAAATATTACTGAACTGAAGCAATCAAAACAAGTCTACACAAAAAACTAAAAAAAAAAAAGGTTCAAATTCTAACTGGTTATAGGAAAAGAGAGAAATGAATGTTGACTACTACTCCCATCTCCAGAAACAAAGAGTGAAGGCGGGGTAAGGTGGGGTGAGGGTGGGAAAGGGAAAGTTTTAAAGTATAATTCGTAAGAAAAAAAATACCCATCTTACCTATGTGCATTTATTGCCTCCACCAATCAAATTATAGAAGAAATTCACCTAATCACGATTTTTCCTAAGTTTCCTTTGGTAACAGCTAGCAAGCTAGCATCTTTGCAAAAGACACTAAGTTTATCCATTAATCATAAGCACTAGGTAAAGTACATTTATTGTGCAATTCATACTACAATTCTATAAACCTTGGTAATAGCAATGTAATGTAGCAGAATATAAAAAGTATTTCCCTAAACACTTAAACACCTATAAACTAAACTTAGGGCTCAAAGAATATCACTGAAACTAGAGTACTTTTAAAAGCCCCTAAAATTTTGTGATTTGTTCCAGTTTTTTGTAGTTTGTAAGCAAATCTGATATACATTTCATTACATATGTTTTCAACATTTAAAAGACTTATAAACTTTTATAACATTAAGAGTGGTTTTCTTAAAGTGGTATACAACAAAAATACGTAAAGGTTATATGTCATATAATCTAGTCCATATAATGCTGACAATTCTTCCCCCCTAGCCCATTATGCTAAGCAAAAACATTCTCGCAACTCCTACAAAAAGACGTGAGTAAAAAGTTGCTTATGCACCTCATTTCTGTCTAAACAGCCTTCTTTACAGCTCAGCTCAATTCCTCAAACAGTAAAAAAAAATTTAATTCCACGATTTTTCTGTTCCTAAAATAGTACATAGTGCAGCAAAAACTCTTCTGTTAATTTTCAATATTAAGTATGTAAAGTTACTTAGATCTCTCTGTGCATTAGAATTTTCTGGGTCTGTCTGGCAAACAAATATAAAACCCAAATTTCCTAGGGGAAAAAAACATTCTAATTACATAAGCCTCCAAAAACTGGAGAGAAAACTTTGACCATCAAAACAAGAGAATCAGCCAACCAAAATTTCTCTGACCTGAATATTCTAGCTAAACCTTCACTGAGAAACACCCTAAAGGGTTTCTCTTTATCTTGCCAAATGCTCCACTACTTGCCTCAGTGAGAAGACACTTCCCAAAATGGGTGGCCTTGGGAAATGAATTAACTTGTATAAAGTTATACTGTTTACAAAGTAAGGATGCTGACATAGTACATAAAAGACTACCAGAACTGATGGAGGATTTGCCACCACGCGGTCCACCACGACCTCGACCCCCTGAAACACTTCTCCCTCTTCCTCCTGGGCGTCTCCTGCTGTCACGCTGATGTCGGCTCTCCCGATCATCTTCTCCTGCCAATGACCAATCACTCAGCTCGTCTTTACGCTCAGATTCTGTTTCAGAGGGGTTAGACAGCTCAGAGTTTGTACCTTGGGAAAGAGGACATAAACCAATTAGATTCTTATTTTTTTTTTAAAGGGGAAAAAAAAGGAGTGAAATTTTTCAAAATTACTTCCTACAGATCATTATTTTAATAACCCTAATTGGCTGATTCAAAGAAAGCTAAATAAAAATTAAAATGAGTTTGAAATGTACTAAGAAAGAATCACATGTTAATATTAGACTAGTAATACAGGATCTACTAATGGGAAATTAAAAATTGGTTTGGATGTGCAGAAATAGAGCCAAGAGATTATAGAAAACACACAAAACATTACATATAATATGCAAATGCAGTTAGTATGGGGAAATAATAAAAAAAATTTGCCCATTTTTGTTTTAGAAGCAAATTAGTGTAATAAAAATAACTGCTATCCAATATTGAAAACCAAATCATATTTAGAAAAAGGAGTTTAATTGTATAGTGTACTCTACCATTATTTCATTGATTTTTGGAAGCACATTTTTTCCACACTTTTAACATCTCTGAAATCACAATGCTTCCTATAATTGATGGTCTCTTATAAACTGGGAGTGTATTTTTAGTGGCTGTACATAAAATAATGTTTTATGTGCAATAGTGGCTTAAATACACTACGTGAAATTACAGAACAAATTTTAAGAATGCTAAGAAGACAACTTTAACAAGAGAAAAATTCATTATGAATCTAAAGGTTGACAGACCATTTCTAAGGTTTCAATGACCTATCTTAATACTGACTTTTTAAAAATTTAAACACTGCAAATATTCTATAAAAGCTTGCAATATCATTACTATTGTATCACAAAGTGCCAGATTTAGACGATTCAATCACTACAATACTCTCACTTTTATTCTTTAATTCTTGGAATGCCACTTCCACCTCTCCTTTTCATATGTCCAAATCTATCTCCTTCAGAGCCCAGTTCAATTTCTAGTTTCAGACCAATTTAACTGAAAATAGACCTCTCCTCTCCTTTTATTACCTGAAAAGCAAAGTGTGTCTATCATGCAATGTTGTCATATGTTTTTTTCCATTTTTTCCCCTTTGGATTTACATCCCACTTGGTCTATATTTAAATGGTAGAGCTCTTTCTTCTACCTCTACATGCCCCCAGACACCTAACAATTTGCCTAACAATTCTCTCTTGATAAATGAATCTGTTGCATGATTTTGAAGTTCATTTGCTTAGCTCCCAAATAAAAGTGATTCCATGATAAACTACAAGTTCCCTACATTTAAATTCCAGTCATTTGATGATGAAAGTAAAACATCGTAACTCCTCAGATGTACAAAAGTACAAGTATTAAGGTACCCAGAATAAAACTGAAATGAAGGGAGTCTAACAACTTCCTTTCTCCTCCAATTCCTTTTTTTCCACATGACCTTAAATATGGATGTAACCACTCAATTACATAAAACTGGATTAATACACTGAACTATTATTTTAGAAAAAACAGCAAGTTTCTAGTATTCACACTTAAGTTTTATTAAGATTGAGAGTCTCGCAAAAGAGAATGCATCTCCCATTTATTTCTCCAAATGACAAAAAATTTACTAGCTCATGTCATGGTTTGTTAGAATAATGGCAATTTATCATTTCATGAGTCATGAAAACATCTTTTGGAATATGTAAGAATTTCTGAATTTACTGACAAGCCTATACACTGCCTGAAAACACTAACAAAATTTGAAGATAAATGAATATCTCATTTTTAAATTTTTCACAAGAGTCCCTACTGAATTTCCTCCAGAAATACATTGTAGTATTTAACTCAGCATCACAAGCAAGGAATTCTTCCTAAACTTTAAGCTTCATCTAGTATTCTAAATACTTAAAGGGGGTGGTCTGAAACATAAATAAGGTTTCAGTAGGTAAGACAGATACTAAAGTCAAAAACAAAAAGGGCTGAATTGGCTAGTGCTCTTGCTTTAGTCATATTAAATAAAGCTTAAATGTTTCTGGGATGGCAAAAGGGACTTTGCAGATGTGATAAGATTAAGGATATTTAAGTGGGAAGATTATCATGGATTATCCAGGTGAGGCCAAACTAATCATACGAATCTCAGCTGCAGAGAACCAAAGAGCAGAACTATGAAGTCACTAGCTTTACAAGAAAGAGGGAGTCATATGCAAAAGGAACTTCTCTAGAAGTTCATGGATCCAAAAAAATTTAAGTAGCTCTAAAAATGATTCATGAAACTAATCCAATTTTTAATGACTCCAACAAATAAAACCTGTTTTTGACAGAATTGCAAATCAGATTTTCCCCTAAAAAATTCTAAAATCACTCCTGAAGATACTTCACATCCTTTTCAATGTTCATGTACACTAAACCTAATAGCTAAAGTAGCATATTTTATCAACTCCAACATGCCATCCATTCATTTTAAAGACATATTTTGTGTGCCATTAAAAAAAATGTTGCCCATTAGCTTTAAAATATCATTCATTCTAAGGAACATACCAACTTCAGGGACATTATGACAAATGTTTCTTATACAACTTATAAATTATCACCTAAATATCCTGATATTAAGTAGGTAAGAGAACATCTATAACCAAATTTAAATAGTTTTTCTCTCAAGTCCACTTAAATTCAATAGCTATTTCAAGAAATGCACTACTACCAGTCCGCAACGTTTCAGAGGTAAGAGTGCCATCTACTGAACAACTTGCATAACTTTCTTCAATCCAGATGATACTCCTCTACCACTCATAAAAACTTACTAACTCATAAAAATTTTACCTACTGTCAACAAAGGCATTTTGCAGAAGGCTGGCCTCAACAATAAGCTGACTTCCCACAGAGGCCTATAAAAGTCTTCAATGAATTTCATCCTATCAACCAAAAAACTAAATCTGATTATCTGTACTAGTAATTTGTGCCTCTAGAATCATTTAATATAATTTTTCTTTAATTACTGGTTAGTTGTCTTTTGTATTAAATGTATTTTCAGGAAATACAGTAGTACTTCACAATTTTCTGCCCTTCATATGCTAAACACTTTACTAGAATTTTGTTTTTCAGTTTCAACAGTTAACTTTAAATAATAAAAACTATCAAGAAATGAGAATGTGGAAATATATGAAAGGGAAGGGATAATTAACCTTTCAGCTCTACAACAAAGGAAAGGACAAATTTAATATAATTCTGGCATCATTAGATGATCCTTCAAACATGAAATCTGGGTGTGGAATCTGCACTCCGTAAGCTTTTATGTTTATCCATTTTCCCTAAATGCCTTCTATTTTGGAAAAGGCTTATGAATTATTTTTCTAAAGTAGTTAGGATGAGCAGAGAGGTATGGAGAAAGGAGAAGGAAATAGAAAGGGAAGACAAAAATCAGGTCACTGCTAAGATCCAAGTCCAAATGCAGAAAAATGGAACAACTCCAAAGCTGAAGAAGAATAAGTGAAAATTTAGGATTAGAAAATTGTTGACCACCACCATCCACTGGCCCCCTCCTATATGGGTTAAGGCCCCATCCTCACACTGAAATACATTTTAGAAAAATGTTCATTTATAAAATGTTAATTTGGTTCCGGCTTTTTAAAAAGTCCTCATTTTAGTGAAATGTTATTTCATAAAATAATTCCAGATATGAGATATTTATATTCAAAACTGCCAAGAGAGCCAATAAAGTATATTTTATAAAGCTAGTACAGATGTACTATACACAACCTTAGCACACTGATTAGCATTATTTTTCATTTTTACTTTTCCTAGAGTAGGCTAAAGAGATTCCTAGCAGTATTATCACCATTACTAGATTTTGATATGTATACATTTTTGTATACATGTATATACAAATGCCACCTATATTTATTCTAAATTATTTAAAACAAACATGATCATGAACTGCCAACTTAACAAAAACATGTCTGATCTCATTACAAAGCTGCATGATCATATATCTTTCACTGTCATTAATATGAAGTATGCCTTCACTACCAAAGACATAGCTCAAAACTATCTCCTGCCCTCAAAGCCAAGACAGAGCAACGAATAATAATGAGAAAAAAGTTTTGAAGTGCCTAAACTAAAACAACTAACAAAAAATTGTTTTTTTACCATAACCGGAGGTGTAATTAGGGCCCCGACGACCTCTGCCTCTTCCACTATAAGACCTAGAACCTTGTACAGAAGAGACGGTACTTTCATCAGTGGCATATCCTTTTTCTTTTTCAGGCCCTCTGGTGGAAGAAGGTCTGAAACCCATACCAATCTGTCGTAGCTGTTCATCAATCTGTAGGCGTTCCATTCTTAGCTGTTCTACTTCCTATAAGCAAAACAAAAAAGGGTAAATATTCTATGTTGTACCATTTTTACCTTCTTAAAGCCTACAGTTAAAGCTATACTCCCTACCAATGAAAGTAGCTGTGATCTTGGCCAATTATTTGGTAAAATACAACTGTGTACCTAGTAAATACAATTCACAAGGTCATTTGCTGACTCAATTCACTGAACATTTACTGAATACTTCAGCGAGCACTAAGTATGCTAAGTGCTACAAACATACAATATAGAAAAAGACAAGGACTCTCCACCTTCAAGGGTATGTTTAACAGACAAGCATTAAAATAAACTATCTGCTGGTGCTTACAGGGCCAAACAAATGTTTCTTATGCTAGAGCAATATTCAAAGTTTGCGTTTAACTTCCTGGCATGAATGAATGAACTAACGGTTTGTTAAATAGCGAATAATTACACAATATTACCAGATCCAGCCTTCAAGAAATTAAAACTCTGATTAAGTGAGATACAGGTGCCATGTATGAGAGGGACTATTAAGCTACTTTTCCATCAAAACAGTGACACCTGAGTTGTGGCCTACATGAACTAGGAGACTGGGTCATTCAGAAACCAAGGTCATTACAGAATGTGAAGGTAAGGCGACCAGACAAAGCTTCTGGCTAAGTAGTAATAGAGTACTGGAAGATAAAGCATGGGCTTTAAAATGCCAGACTGAATTGAGATTTATAAACATGAGTTTTAAAAGAATGACATCATGTGTGCTTTCAAAATATTAACGTAACAGCAATGATATGAGTGATTAAAAGAACTAAAACCTACTAGAGACAGAACAGTTGAGGATATTAGAAGAGAAACTTAATAATAAAAGATAAAGTAGAAAATGACAACTGCAACTTTTAATAATTTATGGGCCATTTCTTTTTTCAAATCTTTGCTCTTTATTTATCAACTCAAATAGACTATCTTAAAAATAATGGTTAAGAATTACCAAATGATGTCTATGGGGTATCACCTCTGATTCAAATACCAGTTACCAAGAAAGCCTATCTTACTCCCTGCCCTATTTGCATTTAAAACATCAAGGTAAAAACAAAATGGTTTCAGTATAGCACATGTATATACATAAGGTGAGGACAGTCAAATCACAGGAACATAAGTGTGACCATTTCTTAAACAGTAAGGAAAGAATGTCAAAGTTCAGAGAAAAAGAGAAACAATGTGCATTAAGGCCAATCATTTTATTATGGCAAACAGATCTTTTACTCCTGAATTCTCAAGTAGGAGAACAGGGTAAATCTGAAGCTGAATTAAAAAAATATTTAATGATTTGAAATTTAATATGAATATAAAATTGATGTATTTTGCAGTTTAACATATGAAGCAACAATGATATGAATGTGAACAGTATACAAACCTTTAGATAAGCAATATGATACTCTAAAAGAACTTGCACATTTCCGATGCTTTCTTTAGTGCCAACAAATACAAATGGAACCATACCCTGTAAGAAAACACAACATCCTCAGTATTTCATATTTTAACAAAGTCTAGCCTAAATTTCACATACCAATATATAATTTGGAAAACTTTTCTAAAATACAGCAATTTATATCTACTAAAATTCAAAATTTAAAAATAAACTGCTGGGCACCTGGGTGGCTCAGTCGTTAAGCGTCTGCCTTCGGCTCAGGTCATGATTCCCGGGTCCTGGGATCGAGTCCCGCCTTCGGGCTCCCTGCTCAGTCTGCTTCTCCCTTTCCCACTCCCCCCTGCTTGTGTTCCCTCTCTCACTGTGTCTGTCAAATAAATAAAATCTTTAAAAAATAAAAATAAAAAAATAAACTGCTAAGAAAAAAATCAGTGTAATTTGAAATACTGAGGTTTTCAATAACTTATTGTATCTGCCCTACAATTTAAGTATGCTAAAAATTTAAATTACCTTTAAAATAACCAGTTTATATAAGATTTTCTAATTCCTAATTCAGTCTTTCTCCATATATAAACCGCCTTTTAATGAAATTTTCCTTCAAACTGGTATAAATTTATAGACCAGATAGATCACATTGGTAGTGATGGCTTTAAAAAGGTAAAGCACATTAGGTAGGTTATCCCTAATATGTGCTCACATAACAAAACTGTGAATGTTGTATACTGGAAGTAGTGCTTCCTGACCATTAACAGTGTTAACGTACAGAGTACAAATATTTACACCATGTAAAATAAAGGAATTACTGATATGGGCAAATATTTAGTCACCAATATTAAAGCCAATCAAAGGATTAATTTTGCTGAATTTATAAAGAAATACACTTCTACCTTCCTAATGGCTAAGGAAAAAAGGAGTAGAGCCTAAATAAACTTCCCCAGGCAGATTCAGTGTCTCATTTTCTTGATTCTACAGATGAGTTCCTAACAGCTATTCAAACAGATTGGCTTAAGAGGGCATGAAAAAAAGGACTATAACTGAAGCTTAAGAAGTAAGAAGTCTTGACTCTGTCCTCAGGAATTCATGGGCAGGTAAGAAAGACAGCAAAGTGAATGAAAGATGGAGGATTAAAAAAGATCTAAAATATTTTAAGCACATACCATATTTCTAGGAGTATATTATTCATCTGTATCTTATTTAATATTCATTTAAAAGTAACTTTAAGAAACACTCCAATTAAAAAAAAAACTCCAACAATTTTACAGTTGAGAAAGCAATTTGCCCCAAAGTCATACAATTAGCAAATGAGCCAGCCAATTTCATATCCACTTACCTAATTCCAAGTAACAATCACTTGTCACTTGCCCCAATATACACTAATGAAAAAGGATAAATAAAATCCCTAAAGGCAATCACAATCTCAGAAAAGATACTAAACATTCCTGCAATAATCTTACTGCACAGCATTAGTGGTTATCAATGAAAAACACAGCAATATTAAGTAGAATGTGGATTATGCCATCCCAAATGTGGAAACTTAGGGGAACTCCTAAGAACATTATTAAAGTAAATGTTAAAAACAAACAAAATTTTACCAAGGAGGTAAAGAAGGAAAAGTCATTCCAGACAGACGATCTGTAAGGAGAGTAAGAGAAATACAATGCCTTGACCCTGAAGTTGAGATGCTATCACCAATAGTTACCTCCAAAGAAAAGTACAGTTAAGAATGCAACCTTAAAGGCATATTTTATGGAATACTTTAATGGCTACTATAGAGCCATAATAAAAAATTTGAAAAGTAAATAATACTCAATATACAAATTTGTTTCTAAGAGTTATTTCCATGAAATTTCTAGATTTTTTTTTTTTTAAGATTTTATTTGTCAGAGGGAGGGAGAGGGAGAACAAGCAGGAAGCGAGCAGCAGACAGAGGGAGAAGCAGGCTCCCTGCCGAGCAAGGAGCCCGAAGTGGGACTCAATCCCAGGACCCTGGGATCATGACCTGAGCCAAAGACAGATGTTTAACCGACTGAGCCACCCCGGTGCCCCGAAATTTCTAGATTTTTTAAAAAATGCTAAACACTGGTTACTTATATTTAACAGATTGCACTGACACTACCAACTAGCACTTGGGAAAAATAAAGCAGGATCCCTGGTTCCTAATACCTTACAAGCCCCCCCAAAAATTTACTGGAGTGAAAAATTTACATATTTTTTTTAAAGATTTTATTTATTTATCTGAGAGAGAGAGAATGAGAGACAGAGAGCACGAGAGGGAAGAGGGCCAGAGGGAGAAGCAGACTCCCCGCCGAGCAGGGAGCCCGACGCGGGACTCGATCCCGGGACTCCAGGATCATGACCTGAGCCGAAGGCAGTCGCGCAACCAACTGAGCCGCCCAGGCGCCCCTAAAAATTTACATACTTTTAAAAAACCTGGAGAATGAAATATAAATGGGTCTCTAAATGATCTACATGTAGGAAAGATCCTGCCAAGCAGGACACAAAATGCAAGTCTTAAGTCATAAAGCAAAAGCCTAAAAAAAATTCCAACATAAACTTATATTGGGGGGAAATAATCAAGGAAAAAGAGTATTTGCTACAAATATAAAAAGACAAAAGACTAGCTTCCTTAAAATGCAAAAGTTCTAACAACTTAGTAATAAAGGCAAAAAATATACAAAAGACAAGCTGCTTAACAGAAAAATTAAAATGTCTTTTAAGCATATGGAGAGAGAACATGTACACTGGAATGGCACTAATTAAAAGTTTGATAAAACTCTGTAATGGCAAGTATGTGGAAAATAGACCCATTTCCGACACTGGTGGAAAGAATGTGTGGGAAAACTAAGATCTAAATATTTAAATGCCTTTTACCCTTTGATCTAAAAAACCCATCCCAGAATTTACTCTCCAGTGGTTAAGGGATATTTGCTGCAGCACTGTTTTTAGTAGCAAAACAAAAACGTGAAAAGGCAACCAGCAACAGGCTAAAATCTCTAAGACACAATGGAGAGAGGAGACAGACAGGACATAGATACACATTTACTTTTCACACTATATCCTTCTGTGCTATTCTAACTTTTACATTAAGTGTATTTCTTTTACAGTGAAAAGCTCAAATCCAATCTTAAAAACGGATTGAAAATACTGAGCATCTAACTCTGTACACTTCATTGAGCTAGAGAGAAACAGAGAATATGGGAATTCAGACTTTATTTCTTGATTTCAGAGTTCATAATGTGGCTTGGTGAGATAACAAAAAAATATAAGGTTGAGAGAAAATCATTAAATACACAATTACATAGACAGTAATTGCTATGACACATAGGTGGGAAAGGTCATCTCAGGCTCAAGGTGGGTCACCAAAGACCAGCATAAACCAGTTATAAACAGTCTGTCAGGGGATTTAGACAGCTTAAATTATGAAATGGTGACCACAAATAAGTGAATACCAACCTTCAAATTTGTTTTAACATGCAATGTTCTGAAAATTTTTAAATTTTGTATACTATAGGTTTCCAACTTCTCATATCAAAAGATATAGCAACCAGATTAAAGCTAAGCAGCATCTGCTTCTTTTATAGAAAGAGACCATGTACCCTCCTATGTGTATCTTGTATATCCCAACCAGAAACCAAGTAATCTGCTTGGTTTCTATAAGCATTTAAGTTTCTTAACCCTGACACAGAAATGGGGGTAACAATAACCAAAACTACAAACAGTAAAGTTAAGTTCTTATTTATGAAGACAGACTTAGAAGAATTAGCTTTGCAACAAAATGTTAAACACTGGAAATCAACTAGGGATAAAACAAACTAAGAGTAGCTACTCATATCAAGCTAAGAAATTTATAGTTGACTCATATAATGGTCCTGACCAATAAACACCTTGATGTCCAGACCACTTTTATGGAGTGGTTGTATGCCAAATGGATCACCATTCTTTTATACATTAAATAGGGGGTATAAAGAAAGGGGAAAGTGTGAATTTTTATGACACCTCGATTTTAATCCTCTTCAGGAGGGAGGGTTGCTTCAAAGTAAAGGTTATTTGAGATTTATAGCAATTTTGGAAGCAGTGTAGGATGAAACAAATCTCAGCCACAAGTACTCATTTCTGTAATACTAAGTCCTATGTTAATCGTTTTGTTTGCTTTGCCTCTACGTTCTAATTAAAAGGAATAAAGGAAGTGGCTCCCTAACAGACATCTTTACAACATCCAATACTTGATGTGAGGTTATCTGAGCTAATCTTTCTTTTAAAGAAAATGCATTCTTTCCAACAGGCTAGTAAGCAAGAATCTATTGTGCAAAACTGAAGCTGCTTCCCGAGAGATAATATGGGAGGAAAATCCTTGCCTTATATTCATTCATAGGCATACAAAGTTTAAGCCACTGGAGCCAACAAAGTAAGAGATCCTTCAAGTTATGGATGAGGAGTAAAGAACAGTATTATAGACAGAACATGAACATGTAAGGAGACGGAAAAAGAAATTTCAGAAAGTTCGTGTCACAATAACGACATAAAAGATTAAAGATTTCAGTTAAGAAATGATCAGTGTTTTCAGATTCTAAAAAAGGTTAAGTACACAGTTATTTACTAAGAATTCCTTTATAACAAACTTAAGTACAAAAAAGAACTGTTAAAATTCTCAAATTGAAACCATTTTATCAAAAATTGGCTTTTTACTGAAGTACTGAGAAACCAATCAAGATCCCACGGCCCACAATTGAAAAATGACTTGTTTCCTTAAGCACAGAAAGCAATATTGTGAGGAATAAAATTAAAAAAAAGAAAAAAATCCACTGCATCAGACTGTAAGTAGTTCACTAGTTAAAACTCATCAAAATGATTTCCAAAATATAAAAAAACATTATAAATCAACCAGGAACAGAACACGATTTAAAAAGGGGGGGATTAAATTACATTTTAAATACTTACATCTTCTCTAGGTAGTTTATTTTCATTGTCTCCTTCAATTCTCACCCGAACCACACCAGATTTGTCCACTATTTCCTGAATGACTTTGCCATTTTTTCCAATTACTTTTCCTTTAATAAGAGAAAAAAAATATAACAGTAAGTTAAAACCAATACTGTTATCCTTCCAACACTAGTCCAAATAATTTGACTTGCTATCAAATTAAAAAATCAAGCAAATCTCCATCTTTTTATACTCTCAATATATTCACCCTGAGGACTACGGAGGAATTTTATCCTCGGTCTGAAAAACTTCCTTCTCTTCAGAGTGCCTAAGGCTATTATTAACTAGGATTGACAATGTTACTCACATGTAAGTCATTTTCCAAGTCTAGAACATTTTTTAATGTGCTCTACCATCATTTCTATATTTTTAAAATATCAATGTAACCCATTCCAAAACTTTGGACATATAAAGGCAAAAGAAACTTATTTTGGCACTGTTAACAAATTCAATCTTGCTTTCATATTCAAGTTGCTATTCATCCAAAACACACCTATTAACTTGAAGATACTTTTAAAATGAATACTCTCTTCAATGAAATGTTTGCGTTTAACATTTTTGACCAAGTTTTTAAGTACTTCATAGCTATACAAATACATATAGTATGTATATGTTAATGCTGTCTTCCTAGATATGAAATACAATATATTGACATAAATTCCAAATTATTTACCTTCTCCACACTTAACATTTAAGTGTGTCAAACAGCAGTTACTGAGTATCCAATAACTAAAAGAGAAACTAAAAGGGGGGGACAGGAAATTCTCTCCCCCTTAGGAACTTACAGCAAACTAGTAAAATAGCAAAGCAGTAATAGATAGTGTTACCTGGTAAAAGAAGTAAATATTCACAGGTAACCTTCCCCGTATGAAATAGATGTATCCCTTATAAAAGTTACTAAGTCCAAATCCCTCATTCTTTTTTAAATCAGCAATCTATTTCCAGAATAAATTAATTTCAGTTGAAAGGGGTTAAAATGGGAGTTAATTCCTATTGCATGCTTGAAAAAACAAGTTTCCATTAAAGAATAAGGGAACAACAGCAAGAGTAAATGGGTCAGTACAGCAAAGACACCATTACAGGATTTTCTATCCCTATTCTCAAACCTCCTTCCCCATTAATAACCCTAAGTTTAAAAGCAGCAGCAACTGAACAGGTAAAAAGAAAAAAATAAGAGTAGGACAGGGAATTCACATGATGTAGGTCTTCTCTGAGCAGCCCTAGCAGCAGTATATAAAAGCAACCTTCATTGTTAACACAGTGAAGCTCAAGCAGCAACTCCATCCTTGACCCTGCTAAAAATAAGCAAATGTCTTTTCGAAAATACAAAAATCAGACTGATATATCATAATCCCTCCCCCAGAATCTTTGCCCCTTCCTTCTATGAACTATACCAGTGGTGAGTGTACATCCATCACCCTTCTGGGGTCTGTGGCAGGGACCTACCTGAAAGTTTTATTTAGTCCCACCAGAGACCGTCAATATTTTAAATGATCATTTCCATTAAATTCCAAAGCATATTGACAAACTGAAGCAGACCTGTAGTATAAATTGAGCACTGAGCATAAATGCTGAAGGGACAGAGTAAAGAAGTGATTAAGGAAGGCTTCCAGGAGGTGAAAAGTTTCAGTTTATTTTTAAATCAACGTTCATATAATATTTTTCTTTTGACTTAGGAGGGGTGGCTATGGTCAGGGGTCTAGAACTCTTAGAACCCAAATGTGTAAGAGAATTCTCTTGAACTTACCCACCAAGTAGTCCTCATTCCCTTTTACTCCTCAGTCCACTTTTTCTTTTTCACTTGGACTAAGAATGTACTATTTTTCAAAAGACTGCTTCACCCATAAAACATTTTGGAGGGAAATGTATTATTATATACAACAACCAAGAAATCATTACACTACCTCTGAGTATTTCACCAACATATAATAGTTGCTGCTAATGTGTATTTTCCGAAGAGTCCCAAATAACCCACATCACCAAAGCGAACCAAGACAAGAGTAGAAGAAAAGAGACATGACAAGTACATCATTGCACAGACAAATGAATAAAGAGAAGAACCAGAGAACTACAAATATACCCAATTTCCTTATTTCTGAAATATCAGGAATTTTTACTCAAAATTAACACTATCACAAACTCTGTAAGACCAAGGCTCTCTTCTATAGAATTGTTGGGCTGGAAAGAACCCGGATTTCCTTTCACACCCTCATCTCCAAATCAGTTTTACAAGTGAAGAAACCTAAGTTAAATCTGTTATGTAAAGCAGCAACCACAATGTTACTACCAACAGGTGTCAATAATTGTGATTTAAAGAAAATAGGGGATTCGTTTTCAAAAGCAGCCTGTTAAAGGTGACTTCATTTGAGAATGATGAACATTTGATATTTTGTACCTTAATATTTGTTAGAATTATACAAAAACTCTTCAAGCTTATACTTAATTTTAACATCTCATCTCTCCAGCAGTTCAACCTACAGTGAACAAGAACCAATAAAATGGAGCTTACTTATCTGGCACTATGTCATACCTGTCCAAATGCTTGGGAGAAGTAAGAGACAAACTAATAGTTGAATACCAAGAAACTGTCCAAGTTCTTCTTCCAGAGTATGCTAACTTGTTACTAGTCAAAACAAGCATCTTTTTAAAGTGGAAGTTTTGATGTGTTTTCTATTAAGGTTTTTTTTTTATGAAATAGGATTTGACAACTAGAACACCTATAGCAAAAAAGTCATTTCCAAAAGGCAAAACAGGCCTAACTGTATATAAATGGAGCCCAAGAGGCTCTGTTTCAATAAGGTCAAGAAACTCATCAGACACAGCAATGGACAAAAACTCAAGCCCCTCCTAGTAAATGTCTCTGCTTTATGTTAATGCTTACTTTTAAAGGTTTAGGATAATCACAGGATTTACTTAATACATGACCAAAATTTTTCCATTTGTCTCAAACAGCATTTAAAAGGACAGATAACACCAATGTAGGGAATATTAATAACAAAGCTATTAAACAACTCACCCAAGCTATAAAGCTCCTTTAACTACAGCTTCAAACTCAAAATTCTGTCACTTTAACTTATAGCCCATGGGTTCATAATTTCCATAATGGTGTCAGAAACTTAATAGTGAATCCTCCCCTTCTATCATCATCACCATTCTTCTCTCCTGCCCATGACTTCTTACCTTATTCTATGCCTTTGCAACAACCAATTATTATTTATTCAGGGCCTACTGTGTAGAAGTTTATTACCCTATTGTTAGTCCACTCTTACTTTTTCTTCTGCACTAAACAAAAGAAAAAAAAAAATCACAAACACCTTCTAAAAAAATACCATGACAATTTTGATGGACATATGAGTGATAAAAAAAACATTAAGTGAATAAGAAGAGCAAGCCCAAGGGGTGAAATGGCTTTTAAGAAATGTAATGACAAACTGTTATAAAAATCATGGGTCGTATTAGTGAGGCACCCTGTACAGAAGGAAATATCTTTACTTTTTGTTACGATAATAACGAGATACAAGTCACATACAACATCACTAAAAAATTAAAAGTACGGCTATCAAATGCTCCATGTAACTATAAATACGGTATCAGACAAGATTAAATTTCAATTAAATTGTTGTATAATTAATAACATTTAACTTATTTAACATTTAGTAGAAATACCTACCAACAAGATTCCTAGGAACCTGAATAAAATCCTCCACAAATTCCAAGAAACCTCTAGCCTTTTTTACAGCATCAGCACTCTGCAGGAGAAAATAAACATAAAATATAACCCTGAAGAAAACCCCAATCCAAAAAAAAACAAAAAAAAACAACCCACACAAGAAATGAGAAATTCTGATTTATTATGCTCTAGTACAAGATTCTGCTCAGCCCACTAAAGTGACATTTCAGGTCAAGTAATTCATGAAGTGCTTTAAAAAAAAAAAAAAAAAAAGAATTACTAAAAGACTAGGAAAACAACATAGTATTAGAACATCTCTAAGGGAAGGGGAGGGAACCCTAAGCTGAGAAAATAGAATTTAGCTTACTTACATTAGCCAAATTTTAACCCAATCGTAAATATATTTGGTCCATACTCCCATGTTAAATTTCTCTAGGTGAATGTTAAATACAAATTATTCATATTGTCTACACTGTCCACACTTTTTTTCACTCTCAACATAAATTATTTAAAAAGCTGTTTTTGTGGAGATGCATTTTTTTTTAAAGTACCTACTGATAAGATCATTAAAATTCCTAACTTCTAATGGGTAAAATTTTAAGACTGAAAGACTGGGGAAGGGAGCCTCTCTACAGGGAATCTATAGTTCTCAGGAAGTTACCTTCCACTTTTACTGTTTGTTCTTTAATAACAACAGATGAAGTGTATTGTGTGCTCATCATATCATGTAACACAAAAATTTTAAGTATATTTAATCCTCACAGACCATAACATAAGCACTACTATTTTCATTTCTAAATGAGGAATTTATGCAGGGAAGTTAAGTAACTTTCTCCAAGCTCACTCCAAGTGGTAGAGACAATTCCAATTCAGACAGTGTGGCTCCAAAGCCTTCTGTCTTAATTACTGTATACTGCCCACTTTTAAAGGTTTCAGAAATAAAATTTGAAAAAAAGAAAATCAGGCTTCTAGTCAGATTCACTATATAACCCAGCTTTTCATGAGAACAACTATGTATGAAAAGTCATGACTTGAGGGGCACCTGAGAGACTCAATTGGTTAAGTGTCTACCTTCAGCTAAGGTCATGATCCCAGGGTCCTAGGGAGGACTGGGCTCCCTACTCAATAGGGAGTCTTTGTCCCTACCCCCTTCACTTGTGCTCTTTAACTCACAGACACTCTAATAAATATTTTTTTTTGGTTTTTTTTTGTTTTTTTAAAGATTTTATTTATTTGAGAGAGCGAGAATGAGAGAGAGAGAGAGCACATGAGAGGGGGGAGGGTCAGAGGGAGAAGCAGACTCCCTGCTCAGCAGGGAGCCCGATGCGGGACTCGATCCCGGGACTCCAGGATCATGACCTGAGCCGAAGGCAGTCGCTTAACCAACTGAGCCACCCAGGCGCCCCAAATAATATACAATCAAACAATAGTTATAATAAAGTTATTGAAAAAAATTTTTTTAAATAAAGTTACTGAGATGGGGGACAGACTATAGCTTACCTCTCCATAGATTCTAAATGTTCCAGTATCTTCATCTAGCTCAATAGCTGTAACTCCAGGAACCTTCCTAGCTTGCTGTATGTTACTACCATGTGTTCCTATTGCCAGGCCCATCAAATCTTCTCTCACAACAAATTCCTCATGAAAAGCTGCTGCAAGTTGTTTTGTGCACTAGTAAAAGAGGTATATTAGAACTTATATTACAAAACATCAAAAACAAAAAGTTTTTCATATACCCATGTTTGTAGTATTCATAATAGTCAAGAAGTGGAAGCAAACCAAATGTGGACTGAACAGATAAACAGAATGAGATATAGGCATATAAAATCATTCAGCCTTCAAAAGGAAATTTTGACACATGCTACAATGTGGATTGAGGACACTGTGCTTAGTGAAATAAGTTGGAACAAAAAAAAAATACTGTTATGATTCCACCTATACGAGGTTTTTAGAGTAGTCAGATTTATAAAAACAAAAAGTAGAATGGTGGTTGCCTGAGGTGTGCGGGGGTGGAGTGGCTGTCTAATGGATATAGTTTCAGTTTTGCAAAATGAAAAGTTCTGGAAAGTGGTTGATTAACAACATGAACAGACTTAACACTACTGAACTACACACTTAAAAATGATTAAGTGGTAAATTTTATGTTGTATTTTACCAAAATTTAAAAAAAAAAACTAAGAAAAAAAAGATACTCATTTGGGATCATATAAGAGAAAAAACAGTTTGATAAGTATATTAATCATGATCACAGAAAATAGTTAATTCTAAAACAATTTTCTGGAATTACTGATATAAGGAGTTCTCCAACTCAGAGGATTCATTTTTCAATTCTCACTCACCATATATCCCTTGTTTGGAACCTTTCAAATTATTAACGGTACTTGCAAATACGTCCTAAACATATAAAGATGTTTATATACCTCAATTTCTCTAAGATCTGAATGTGGTGCATGGGGGAGGGGGAAGAGTCTCCTACTAGTGTGGCAATGAAGAATAAGAGAAAACAAAGGAAAACCTTAGGATGGGATAGAAAAGAAATAGGCTCTTTTTTAAAACGTACATGCTATGTGTCCTCCCCTCCTCTCTTACGTAAGAGTTATTATAGTCAACTAGTTAACTAATGGAAGTGTGTTATGAATGACAGCTAAAAGGGTAGTAAAAAAAGGTTAAGGACAGAGTAAAGAAAAACCAGGAATACAGTTCTACTAGATATCTTTATGAGTTTCTAAGTTCTTTGGCACCTGTTATCTAAGTCTTAACAAAAAAAAAAACTCAACAGGCATTTAGCAAACGAAGGCTGTTTGGGGAAAGTAACAGAAAAAAAATAATTGTTCTAAGGGCACAATGCCTCCTGGTATTAGCCACAAAACAGGTCCCAAGTTGCCTTACCTAATAGTCAAGTAGTTTAAGCCAGGGAACCTGAATAATATACTTAAGAAACTAAATGGGACACACAAAAAACCTTCTGATAAACCCACTTACTTCTAAATGCTTAGTGGCCTCTTCATTTCTGGACATAAGCATCAATTTCGTACGAATACTTCGCAAATGCATGTCACTTAAAATATTTACTCTCTTCACAGTTGCTTCGCTGGCAGACTATAAACAAACAAGTTAATCACTCAAAAAATCTTATTTTTCTAGATAATACAAATAAGAACCTTGCACGTAAAGCTGTCCTTGACCCTCATCTACTACACTTCTCTCCCCCCCACCACGCCCCCTCCCACAGGTAACCCTACTCCCCACTCCCCTTTCTGAAGTCCCGTATTTAGTTCTGCTATTCAAATGATTGGGGTTGGGGGCAGGGGAGGATCCAGGATCCCACACATTCAGAATTTCATGTTGTTAAGAATGCCATATTAAGATTTTTTCCTCCTTATTCCACACAAAAGATAGAAATTTAACATTTTATAGCTGTAAAAAAAATGTTTCTTTCATATGCATTAACAAATACACTGCATACCAAGTTAGCTTTTATCTTTTCAAATATTTAATTATAAAATCTGTGAAATATCCATTGGCTACCTTAAAATATGTAGTTATCTTACCAGTATCATTAGCTGTGTGGTTTCTGGATGGTAAAAAATTCTGCATGCTCCTACTGCTTTTTTAAAATCTTTATGTGCATTTTCATTAGCACACCTAGGGAGAAATTAATTCATATTTAAGACCTAAATAATAAATTCAGAAGGCAATTATAATGCAAACTAAGTATTTCATTTTGACATTACCCATTAAAACTTTTGTTTACTAAAAAGATTATCAGAAGTTTTTCATTGGGTGTTTGGGAAAAAAAGATTTTTATAACACTAAAAAAATCCTCTTAATTCACAAAGCAATTCAACAGTAAACAAAATTACTCACGCCTCTCTCAAATCCTCAGGAACATCCACTGTGCATTTAAAGAAGGTATTTTTTTTGACAGTTTTATTTTGATTGACAGGTCGAAGTCGTTCAAATGTGACTATTTCATTGTAAGTGGCATCACAAGCAGCATATTCAATGACATAAAACTAAAAGACATCAAAATACTTTAAAAATCCCATCTGAACAAAAATAATGAGCTTTAAATGAAGTTCTAATTGCCTTGCTCAGCTTAACCAACAGACCCTCCCCCTTGTGGCACAATACTAAGCACAGCTTAGTTACATCAATCTGATTTGCCTAAACTAGATTATTGGCTCTTACAAGCATGAACCTTGGTGGTCCTCACATCCTTGAAGTGTATCCCTGAAGAGAAGCTTTGAGGTTTGCAAATTCAGAAAAAAAATAAATAAATAAATGGTCTAACGAATTTTTAAAATGTATGATCAATTATTTCCAAATTAGGCGTTTAAAAAAAAAACTAAGAATTGAAGTAACATTTACAGAAACCAAGAGCTGAGGTATTTCCTTGCACTAGTCACAATGCAAGTGTAAACATCACTTACTTCTCCTTTCATCATTCGAACTTTAGCCAACCACCATCCACATGGTTCTTGGTCATTTGCTCTTGAATATACCTGAGAAGAGAAAAAAAGGCCTTTATCCATTCATCCTGAAAGATTTCAACATTATAATGACTTACTATATATGCCAAATCCCATTAAACTCTAGAAAAATGTCACTGCACTAAAATTGATGAGCTAACCATAATTTAATAAAAGAAGTCATGTATCCTTAAATTTTACTACTGAAAACCAAAACTGAACCCTTTTTGGGTAATCTGGCTCCTTGAAAATCTAATTCCAAATTCATGAGGTTTTCCAAACATAAATATTATTTGAAAGAAGGCTTTCCACAAAGCAGTTTAACATAGTGCAAAACAGAGTTCTTTCACAGTTTGTCAATACTGTTCACTTTTAAGCACTGCATTCTGATGATTCAAGTATCAGACACAAGGATAAGCTAGAAATTATAAAGACATTTCAAATCTCATAACAATATTTTTAAGATGTTGAAATCAAGAATGGTTTTCAAAAAGAAACCCAATTTTAAAACCTTCAAGGATATGATATTTAGATTCCTTCCTGAAGAACCTAAATCAAATGCACTAAAATTGTTCAGCTGAATAAAAATTTAAATTATACACATTTAGTACATCTAGCACAGTACGTAAGAATCTTACAAACCTCTTCCGTAAAAAAAAATTATCTTATATTGCTCTGTATTTGTAATTATCAGGTATTTCGTAACGTGACACATTAGGGAAGTTTCCTTTAGGGATTAGAGTTATTTCTTATGGTACAGCATCTTGATATATTTTCAATATGTGGAAAATTGGGGGAAGGGGGAATCTGGGAAGAGACAACCAAGAAGAGCCCCATAAAAATCTTTTATTATATGAACAAAGGATGTCTCTGCAGAGGAGGAGAGAGAAATCTACCAATATATGTTAACACCCATCTTTGGGTTAAATGCAAACAACTACTGATAATAAGCAAATAGTTTTGGAAAGCCTGAAGCCTCACTGAGGTGATGTGAGAGTAATCTTGGAAGTGGGGGAATACTGGAAATGTAACTGAGTAAGCCAAAACCTCATGATCAACTTCACTGTGCACCATGATGGGAAAAAAGGAAGATCTACATACCAATCAGGCTCCAGGGGACTCAATTTTAGCTCTGCATTTCTTTATGAGCCCATCTATTTCGTAACTTTCATCCTTTCTTATAGTCTCCAAAAAACAATAAATTTTACTTTTTTTTAGAATAAAACAAAATTCATTCTATCTTGCAATTATATATCCAGTGGAATCTCTTATAAATGTAAGGGGAAATCTAGCGATCTTTTTTTTCTGTATCTTGAAACACTTCACTATTTCATCATCATTCATCAATTATTCCCAACTTAAAAAAAAAAAGAAGAATGATGGTATCACCTGGAAGAACACAACAGTGAAATATAGCGTTACTATTGCATCATCCTGTAGTTTCTTTACTGCATAGTCTTTCAAGAAAGTATAAAAAGACTGGAGACACCATTCTTGAAGTCTGCTTTTGGTTTTCACTGAACAGTTAAGAATTCAGAATTTTTAATTTTCCACCCATAACTGCAAAGACAAAATTTACAGAGGAAGGGCTTTCACAATTATTAGAGGAATCAGGACTGATGCAGAGACAGACAATAGCACTCTAGATTCTAATGATGAATGTGAAATTATAAGCAGAATCTCCCACCATGAAGCCTTCAGATGATGAATATTCCCAAACAATATACTTCTAAGTAGAAAAGGGAAATTTAGTATCCTCACCCAGTTAATCAAACTAGGACTTCATCATACAAAATCCTGCAACAAGACTCGGGACCATTCTGTTTTTCTAAAAGGACACGTGACCATATTCTTTCATCTTTTATGATTGTACACCAAAATGTACCCCCATACAGCTCATAAGTGGACAAATGCCAAAGGCAAAGATGACTAGAAACAAATGATGAAGACATGCAAAAAATTCAATGGATTAGTCAATGCAATTGGTTAAATATGAAAATGGTATAATTATAACACAAAGATGACTATGCTCTGTTCAATAAAATTAGAAGCCACTAAGAGTTCCAAAATATTCCTAAAGTACTGCATTTCTGATAATCCAAGTATAAGATGAACCAGAATGAAATGATAAACTAGAACTTACTAGATGTGTTTTAAATTTGATATCAGAATTTGTAACATGAATTTATTCTGCGTTTATGCATGATAGCTGATGAGAAGTAATATTTAGAGACCTGTACTCATTTTAGGTGTATGTATTTTCAAAACCAGGAAAATATGGAATAAAAAGTTGTATTTGTTATGCCTTTTTTTTTTTTTTTTTTTTTTAT